CATGATATCTCAGTTTAAACTGGTGACATCTCTGGTCTCGACAGCCGGCAGAACACAAGTGTGAATTAAAGAGAAGCAGCAGCTGTTTTCACGCACTTCCAAAAGTACAGGGCATGAAAACACAGATCAGAGCTGTCGCACACGAGAAAAGAGACGTCTTCTGTTAGTTCTGTTAAATTTTTTATCTATTACATTTTAGAACTAGTAACAGATTGCTAAAAATACAAGGCTAGAGAATAAAGGTTAAATGAAATTTGAGTTGTCTTTGGCATGAATCATCTGCCCTCATTTGCCAGCAATATATCGCTGTATGACATGCTCTGAGGACCTGCAAAGCGACCTTCAAAAGGCCCAGGTGAAATGTCACAGAATTTGAAAATACCCATAATAGAATCTGAGATGCATTCAGCTCAGTTTCACTTTCCTGTAATTGAGTTCTACATCTTCTAAATTAAATTTGAATTAGCGTCAAATTATTTTAATAAGATCTCGTAAAAAAATGGATCATTATCTAAGAAGGCTTTTTTACTTTAAGAAATCTATTATGTGTAATATTCTTTAATTTTGGTTTTATGATTTATTTAATTGATGAATGTTCTTCAAAGACTAGTTGTGGGCAGGGAAAAGGCATTTGTTAAATGATGTATTTTAGAGATCATGCTAAAATCACTTAACCTTTAAAATATTAGTTACATAGAATAATTACATTTTTTCTTAGCAAAATAATTCCAGAAATGGTCCCTTTTTTCTTTTTAACTTTAGATTAATTATATATGACATTAGAAATCCTGAATAGGCAAAGTGCTAATGGCATGTTTCAGGTAATACACCATGAACATGACTCATTCTGCTTTGGTTCCTTTGATCTTCAAGAGTTTTCAAGCCTTTTCATGTGAAGAGGACTCGTTAGTAAGAAGCTCTGTCTTACCTGTTTTCTCAACATTGTTAATTGAGCTCAGCCTTAAAAATCATTTTACAGTTTTCACAGAGTTTATTTGTTAAGAAAAAAACAACAAATAAATTGTCGAGAAGAAAACATTCAGGACAGGTGGATATTTCTTCAGGTACCTCAATTTAAGTGAATAGAGATTGTGGAAGGATTAACCACTTAATATAATTAACTGTACAAGTTTAATTTACTGGTGCTTTTAGAAAAATACAAAATGGTCCTGTTAAAGTTACAGCAACACTGATAATTGTGTAAAGCTTTGCTTGCAGAAGCTTGCAGGACCCCTGAACATTTTCAGGGTGAAGAGAGTGAAGACGTAGAAACACGATCTTCAGCATTGCAGTTCTTTTGTAAAACTAGTTAAGTTTATAGCTGCTAGAATTAAGAAATGTATCTGCTGATAAAAGCCACCTTCAAAGTTTTGATGTATGCCTTTGAATACGAGCCATTGAGTGCATTGTTGCATCATGAGCAGGAATGGTGTCTATGAGGTGCAAATGATCTCAAACACTGAATGGACATTGTTAAAGCAGAGAGCATGATCAGCTTAGCCTTCATTTAAATATGCATCGGCTGCTGATGCAGTGTGAGCATGCAGAAGACAATTCTCTTGTCTTGGACACGTGGTTATTTATTGAGACAAATGGGTGAAGACATGAGCGTAAGCTATCACTAGTTATTGCAACAAATTCACAAAGCTATAATCAGAAAAATTGCAAAGTCTTCCTTATGGTCCTGTATGTGCACTGACAGTTTATGGAAGTAATGAATATTTATCATCATCAGGGTTGATCAGCAGGGGTGTTGTAGCAACTGCTGGAACCACATGCTTTGCACCAGGTTGCAGTGGCTGTGTTGTGGAATCCTGTCCTGTTCCTCTCACAGAGCCCGGACTGGCCTGTTCATGGGTCTGTGAGCACTAGATGCCACATGTCATCCCAGGAATCTTCAATGGGGCTCAAGTCTTTTGAACAGGACTCAATAACATCATTGAAACTCACTGTTACAGGAGCAGAATGTGGTTGTGTGCTGTCCTGGTGGAATGGTGTTACACCAGGAAGAGCAGTTAGGACCTGGAACCCAGATGAAAGCAGTACTGTACAGTAAGGTGGCCTTGAAATGGTACAACTGAAGTTCTGTAGGAAATAGACTCTCCTGTTACATACAGAAGGAGCAGTGTTAGCTTGTCATTTTTATTATTTCTTTTTGACAGAAAAAACATTGAAAAAATCGTTTTGAGTACTGTTCTTTAAACTGACAGATTCATTTGTGCATTGCATACTTTAAAACAGAATATGAAGTCCATCACCTTCCTTTGATTCTGTTAGAATAAGATGAGTATACAGTACTTGTTTATGGGATATGACCTGTTGTGAGACCTCTTTGCACTGCTCTGCAGATCTGTAATGCTGCTGGGCTTGGTTAAATTTGTCTGCAGCGATGGTGTCCTCTGGGAAATTTGGACTACCAAATGGACAGGCCTGAGCAAAAGAAAGAAGTTAGAGACAACATGGACAGTGAAAAAGATTCATAGCAAGGCCAGCTCTGCATGGATGAGAGGGCAAGGAAGGTTATGAGATTTTATAACTGGAGGTCAGATCATACAGTAATTATGAAGGGAGTAGCTGTATGTTGGAGGGGGAGTTGAGGTAGATTCAGAAAAAGTCACAACTTTATTGCACTGGTATGTTTTGTCACCCTATCAGTCAGGCACTTTGACACTTTAATTCGAACGCATCTGTGTTATCGGGCATGTCTTTGCTACAAGAGGAGAAGGGAGGTAAATTGCAGGGTCATACTTTCAGACTACGGAGTGAGAGCTCTGTGTTCCATAGCAAACCATTGTCTAGTACATGCAATACAGTAAATTGAAAAAAACAAACACTGGTTAAACGTGTTGTTAAAAAGCATCATTGTGAGTTATTTTAGATCCAAGAATTCAAGGTAAAGGATCTTCCTTCCTTCTGGGAGAGAAGGACTGTTGGCGAAACCAGTCCTGCCCCAGTCCACCACATTCTCAGCAGGCACTGCGGGCTGTGGTGACGTCGCAGGAAATCTGACCGTGTGAGAGGCAAAAGAGAACTGATTTGGGATGTACTAAATATAAATATAAACGCTTTTTATTTATTTCATGGTTGTGTCGGTCGGTCTGTCTGTTGATCGATCTGTCTATCTGTATATGTTACATTTAGGAAAATAAGGTGACCAGAAATACACAGGCATGTCCTTGTGCTGGAAATAAAAAATACTGCAGTCACTCAGAATGGCTCTTCAGACACCAGAAGGAAGAGCGATCTAAAACAGAAATTCATGTGACATCATTGATTAGAGTTTACCTTTATGAAGACATTACCATGTCACACTTCTGTAGCAAAAGACTTACTAATATCAGACATTGTGCTGCTTATCAGATGTAGAAACTTTGTCTTTATAAGGTTAATATAACATGCCATTGGCGTTCATATTTCTCCATCAAGGCAGCTAAATTCCACTTCTGAAAATTATTCATTAAAATTTTTATCAATTTTGCATTTTCGTGAGACAGAATAAGGAAATGCCATCAGAAAATTAAATTTTCCAATGACATTAGGCGCCCAGTCAACAATCCAATTCCATGTGTTTCTATTGAGACATTAGGATTTGATATAATTTTGGGCAGAAAACATTTTTAAAATGAAGCAATTGAATTTCCTAGATGGTCTCAGGGAGCACTTAGCTTAAAAGAATACACTTCCAAATCAAAAAGCTTTCAATCATTTCCGAGCATGTTTGGATGAGATCTGCACTAAGTGTAGTATCATTCTGAATCTTATTGAACATTTGACTGACTCATGCACACATAGGTGATGTTGGAGATGATCATATTTTGTTTCGCCTCATTGTATGTGACATCTGGCTTATAGTAACTGAGGAAAAAGAAAATAGAAGGAAGAGTCTGTGCTTCACTGACAAACTGACCACTAGACTGAACTTTTTGTTGTTGTTTTTGTAATGCGGCATCATTTCAGTGACTGGATCTGTGACTGTTCACAACTCCTGTTTCCAGCGGAAATTTAAATCTTTTAAGTGTAGAATTTCACCCCAATGTATTTTATCCCATATTCTTTCCTGCAATGCTGGAAGTTTTTCACGCTGTGTCTTACCAGAGTCTCAGGCATGCTTTCTCAGGGCATGAAGAGAAGGAGAAGATGATACAGGCTGTTTTCCTTAGAGATGAATTAATTATATTCAATTCAATTTATTTTTATATATAGCGCCTTTCACAACAAGGTTGCCCCAAAGTGCTTAACAAAGCAATTGACGATACATTTTGTCAATACAGAACAGAAAACCAGAAGACAACGGAGGAGAGGAACCAAAAACTCTTTAATAAGGAGAAAAAAACCCTCTAGGGGTCCAAGGTCAACTGGTTGCCCAACCCCTTTGGGCACGTTAACATTATATAATTAAAAAAAGGAAACAATGAATGAACATAAAAGATAGAACTACATAGCAGTTTAAGGTCTACAGTCTGAACCCAGATTCCCACTATTCCTTCTTTATCTCTCTGGGACCCATCAGTAAAGTCCCTGGCATCCCCTTTAACACGTCTCAGATGCATTCTATCCCTGGAAAGCTAGGATCATTAATTCCTGGTGAGTCTTCCAGTGTGTTGGAGTATGGCTGAAATCCAAAACTATAAGTATAAATAGCCAAAAACAACTTGTTTCAGGGCAGAAGTGAAATAAATGCTGAAAATACATGAAAGGTACAGTACTTATAAGTCAGCCCACTTTTCTGGAAAGCAGAAGAAAATGTTATTTTCCCTGGTCTGTTGCAGAGAAAGAGCTTAGCTTTAAAATATTATGAAATTGACGGTTCATGGGGGTGTTGATATGGGGACTGATGATTGTTGTTTAGTTTTGATAAAAAAACAATGTAACATTGTTTAATCTTTGTAAAAATATAGTGGAGACAAGCAACAGTATTGCTCTTAGCTCGCTCTCGACATTAATTGCTTTAATGGCTGGCATTGACTTTCTCTCACTCTTTGATCTTGCTCAGCGTCACCTGCTGCTGCTTTCAACAAGTGACCGTGTGACAACATTAGCACATCTGAGGGCACTGCCTGTGTGTACAGCATCGCCTTGCCAGAGACAACTTCAGCATGAAAACGGGACCACGGAGCAGAAACGTGTCTGCTGGTAACCGAAGCAATGGCAGCTGCATTGTGTGAGATTCTTCTGCTGACACTTATTGGAAATCTTCAAATGCACAAGAGGCATGTTGGGATTATTGTACAGCCACGGACCTCATTTTGAAGGCGTTCCTCCTTCCAGACAGGCGTTTACGAAAAGCACAACCAGATCAACACCAGAAAGCCGGCTGCATGCTGTGGGTAACGCAGTGCAATGGTCACACCGACATTCACACAGACCGTCCCTCAAGTCATTCTGTAGCTCCTCTCTGTTAACAGGTATTTCTGAAAAAACCTGCCAGTCAGTAAGGTATGAGACGAGGGGTGGCAAATTCCATTTAAAAATTATTTGGAAAAACATACTGTATCAAAGATAATAAAACAACGTTGAGAGGCTCAATAACGTTATAGAAACTAACCTCTGCTTATGGATAATTACATTTGAGTTAATAATAGACAGATTATTCTCATAGTTTCTTTATTAATGGATTTTTTAGTTTTTCCTAAATTTTGATCCACAAAAATGTTCATTTTGTTCTTAAATATTATTAAGCAAAGTGAAATAAACAGCCCTGTGACTGATTAGGCAATGAACAGTGTTTACAGTCAGAGCGTTGGCGTTACAGTATTTGAGAAAATGAATTGCCAGCAGGCAGATACTGAAGCTGATAAACACTATATCCTGTTAATCGTGTTGAAGATGAGCCATGTCTGACTGCAGTTTTACTGTCTGAGGCCTTTATCAAGGCTCTGCCTGCCTTTTGGTGTGTTTGCTGTATTTCTAAGCAGGGAATCACCTTCTAATAACATTCCATTTTCTTTCTCTATCAAATCATGGGTGCTGACATTAATTCAAATCCACATTTTTTGCCTGTGTTTGCTACTTCACAAGCAAGCTTTGAACAGAAGATAAGATGAACTGGTATGAGATCAGCTCTGCTCTGAGTGATTTGAGTGGAAGAGATACAGTATGATCTGATTGCAAGACCGACCTTAATTTGATGTGAAAATGATGTGATGTTTGTATCAATGGTGAGGTTGTTATGCTGCTTAACTCCCCATAATTATCAGGTCTTATGTAAATATCATCACCTTTGCTATCAAAATATCAAAGATACTTCATTGGTAGGTTCAGTGTTTAATGTATGCTTTTGTGCCTTGTATTCAATATTGTGTGCAGTTCTAAGGATCCTTCAATCTGTTGAACGTCAGAACTGCAGTAACACACCTTTATTACACCTTATTAACAATAAAGGGGATTTAAGAACACCCTAAATGTTACAAATAAGGGGAAGTCTTTTAGAACATCTACAGTAGATCATTTGGCTTTTAGTATCTATTTTTTTGCTAGAGAAGGCTCAGTAGCTTGTTCTACCGTCTCACAGCCCTTTGTGTAAAGTAATGCCTCCTGCCCAGACTGCAGGATCTTATCAAGCCATTTCTTGAGAGAAGCCTTGGTATAGGCTTTAACAACATGACTGGGCAGCTTGTTTCAAACTCCCACGCCCCTCAGGCTCTTAGATTAAATGGAAGTAACTGAAGTTCAGGAGGGATAGTGACAGACAAGCCCATCTCAGACAGCTGTTTACAATAATTTCCGACTTTTGCTATATACAGTATGTAACTCTTACACACACCTCTTCTCACATTGTTTTCACTTTCAATATATGGACCGTGCTCTAAAAAGCAAGCAGGAGAATGAAAACAACACAGAGCAAAAGAGAGAAAATGCTACTTGTATCTATTTGTCTTGCATATTATTCATCTATCCATGGACGGCACTCCTCAGCATTTCAAGCCACACTCGTTCCTCTGCGCTGTCTTCTATTTTTGTTTCCTGGTGTCCAGCTCAGCCAGGGGTCCCCCTGCCCTCAAGCCTGCTGCTCCTGATGCCAACTCTTTGGGCCACGTTTGTCTGGTTCCTGTCCCTGGCTCAGCCAGCAGGCGTCCCACAGCTTTTTATGTCTGCCTTCTCAAATAACGTAATGTCCATATTTCCATATTCCTCCTGTCTGTTCCGGCATTGCTGGTTTGGGATTCACTTGTTTCTTTGGAGGTTTGAGTGGCCCAGGTTCCTCCCTCTTCAGCCTAGGTCTGCCCGGCGTCCTACCTTCACCTGAGTCAGCAGGTGTCCTACAGCCTTCAATGTATGTCTTCACTTTTTATCGTAATGTCCGCATTTCCATGCTGTGTGCGTGTGTCCCTCCCATCTCTGTTTCTAGATTGGTGGTTTGGGGTTAGCTTGTTTTTTTGCATCTTCATTTCGTTCTCTGGCCAGGAGACTACCTCTTAACCAAGCGGGTTAAAGCCAAAAGCTATTATATTTAAAAGTTCAAAACACATTCACAAAGCATCTGATTCTTGGATGTCATATTATTCCATCCGTACGATTTTTGATCGCTTCTGCCAATTCAGGAATGTGCAGGAGCCGGAGCCTGGATGTCGTTATTCCTCAGAAAAATAGTTTTCACTTTTACTCTCTGGTCTGTAGTTCACTTCTGCTGGGTTGACTTCATATTGTCTTCAGAATACCCATCCATCCATTTGCAGTGGTCGTTTCATGTTTAGAGGTTCACTGTGAGCTGGATCCCAACCCAGTCTGCTGTATGCAAACATGCAAACTATCAAACAATCTGGACCTCTGGCCATCTGATTATCCTGCGAAGGCTTTGCATGTGTGGAGCAGAGAAGACTGTGGACAAGGATATGGTTTTGATTAAACAGAAAAACTATTGCAGCAATTGCCTCTGCAGTAATTTTAAATTCTGCCATCTGCATGGGTGTAAAAGGAAACCTGAGGATGTAATAAGCCACCCTGTGATCTTTAAATTGTTGCTAGTGCTCCCTAAGACACTGGCAACAAAATTAGGGACTGTAGCAGCTGCTCCTGGAGGTTGGCCTTTTGTAAATGTCTAGTTTTACTTACCACACTTCCTAGGGCTTTTCTGTGTGCACCCCCAAAGTTCATTTCACTCAGCTTTCGGACCCTGTTCATGTGCTCTCTGTTACCTCCTCTGCTTGGTCCTGTCTGCAGCATGGTGAACCCAAAAACCAGCTCATTACAAGTTTTAAAGCTGAATGTCATTTCACAGACTGCTTTTAGATCTTCCTCTAAAATTATACAAGTGTAGAAATAATGAATGTAAAGCTCAGAATTATGACTTTTATAATAAGACTGATTATAAAACTCAGAATTTTATAATCATTCTTATTTTACCTCCATAAGCAGAGAAGGCAATTTCTAAACAAAAACGTCTTCTAAAGTACAGTAGCTTTACAAAGTATAATTGAAATTCACGACAATCATTCAATCAGATAAATAAAACATTTTAAAAATTAGTCTTTGGAAAAGTCAAGGTTTATAGACATAAAGTAAAATAAATAACCAAACAGGTGCCAAAAACACAATATTTTATCAATCCATAACTTCAAGAAGAGCCCATTAGTTATTATTTGTTAAACTTAACTTCTGGAGATGAATCTTTCGTGTGTGCCATTAAAAAAACTAAAAATAATGTTTATGCGCTGTTGCAAAAATCAGTGAAAACAAAACTAGTGCGAAATTATAAATTTCTCCTTTTTACATTTTAAAAGGGCAATTGTGTCAACATACATCTCTGCTCACATAAGTGTGTATTATTAGCGTGGGCTGTGTGGCTCCATCTGCTTTAGCCTCTAACCCTTCTGCACACAAAATGTCCGGATTCAATGCCTTAATGAAATGTCTGATTGATCTTGATTGCAATTGCTCAGGATTATTAGAGCACTGGTTTATGACTGCTCCGTGCTGTGAGATTATATATGCTAAAAGAGCTTGTTTGAGATAAATGAAAACGAGGCAAAAAAAACACAAAATGCTGTTTTCGCTGTTTGTGTACTGGTGTGCTCTGTGACACCCTGCAATCAAGAATGGGGGCCACACAGCACAGTGATGGAGCAGACAGGGGACAGGGAGGTTAATGAAGGATAAAGTCTTAATTCCAGGGCTTGTTGGAAAGTGGAATGGGCTGGGCCACCAGGCTCTGTGACAGACCTCCCTCTTCACGAGACAGAGCAACTTAAGCAGCAGCACCCTGAAACTGTCTGAACGCACGGGCCTAAAATATTCATCTTCACAACCCCCCAGATTGTGTTGAGCAATACGTTTCAGTCCTCGGAAAGCACGAGGGCTTAGGGAAGAAGACTGGAGGCAATCTGAAATGCAGGCCGGCACACCATAATTCTAGTGCCTCGCTAATGGGAGCTGATCCCTTCTGTCGGCCGAAAACATCAATTTTTTAATACTTGTGGTGGAAACATATGCTAATGGAAGCCAATCCCAATCTGCTCATATTTATACTATAATGACTTTATGTTCTGGCTTTAAGGACAGAAAAAGCCTGTTTAAATCAGAGCCAGCTGAGTGCTTGCTGTTGTGCATGACATGAACCAAGACAAACTTTTCAAATAAGGCTGTGTTATTGCTCTTAACTGACAGAAATAATGATGCACAGGCAGAGCGTTTGTGCACGTTTGCATCATTTGCATCAGTTGGGGAGACTCAACAACAGGACGCGCCACGCATACATGGTTACAGTACATGCTGGACCTGGCCTTCTGTCTCACGCCATTCTCTGAGTTGCTAGCTGATACTAGAACTGCGGCTGACCGTTTCTGCCCTGTACAGAGGTGCAATGGGACAGTTGTTTTACTGCAAGTGCAATAGCGTTGCATTGTCGCAAAACATTTCTGGAGTTTCTATCATGTGAGAAACTTTACCTGACAGTTCTTAACAATCAACAATGGGAATCTGAGCTCTTCAGTACATAAGCAGCAGAAGAAAACCAGTTCAAAAGGAAGATGTGCTCACTGTGAGCTCTGGTCTCATGGTAATCACCATTCTTCTGACGTACAATGCATGAAGAGTCTGGTTTATCTAGTCATGCACTATTGTTATTCACCAAAATGAAGCCTGAATGAATTAATTAAATGTAAAAATTAAAAGTGTGCCTCAAGACTCAAAGCTTTTGGTTTGCAATTCAATATGCAAAAAATAAAACTTGAGAAATCTTTCTCAAGGAGCCGGTTTCCCATCTCCTTTTGGTGTTTCAAGCTGTTCTGAAGTTCAAGCCATATGTAGTGTGTTGGCACAGAATAGCTGACATATTCCACACGGGAGGCGGTATGCTCTTTCGTAGATGATCAGTGATTTGGATGGGATTTTTCTGGGGGATGTCTGGTGCTCCATATTGTACTTGAATATCTGTTTAATTGGATGATGGTGATCAAGCTGGAACTTT